AGTAATATCTTCGCAGTAGGTGTCCGAACCAGAGGGAGAGCGGTACCCACGCCCGTACGCCTGGGCTTGTGTGTACAGCGTGTGCGCCTGCCGTCGAGTAAGCGCCTGCGTGCCGCGACGTTAGGGTGTGGGACTACTCCGCGGCCAACGTCGCGCAGAGCAACGCCGCGTACTATGGGTACGAGGAGCCGACTGCGTGCGTGGTGGTCGCCCTTCGATGGATGACCTGCGCCTTCCCCCCTTCCTTTCCTTGTCGGGCTTGTGGATGTTGTCCCACCTCCTACGACTATCATCTTGCCCTCCCTCTTCTCCGTCCCTCCCGCTCCCCTTTCCCTGACAATGTTCTCCCTCCCTTCCTTACCCTTACTCCATTATCCTTACTCGCCCCGCCTTTCGCTCCGTCTTCCTGCTCCCTTCCCTCTCCCGCTTCGGTCTACCCACATTCATCCAACGCCTTGACGTCCCGCCCCCCTTTCCTCCCTTCACGTCTTCCATCCCGTCCCCGTCCCTTCTCTTGCTCGCTCCACGTGCCGCCCCTTCCTTGTGTCCCTCCCCTCCCCTCCCGTCCCACCGCCATTATCCTCCTCCCGCCGTCCCTCCCTCCCTTCCCCTTCCCATCTTTCCGCCCCCCTCGCCCGCCCTGGTCCACGCACCTCCATCCCTATACATGCGACGATGCGTCGTCCTTTCCTGTTCCTCCCGCCCTTTTCCTCATTTACTTTTCCACCGTCCTCCTTCCTCGCCCGTCTCCTTTGTCTCGCTTTCCCCACCTCTCGTTCTCACTCCCACCTACAACACATTCTAGATGTTATGTGACGACTTTCCGCCGCGCCTGCGGCGCGCAGCGCGCCAGCAGACTCCTACATTCAACTCCAACATCCACCTCGACTTTCCCATGGCGCGAGCTTTTCTACGGGTCCCACCAACTACTACGCCACCTCCCTGCCTTATCGCCACGCGCCTGCGGCGCCCGCGCCGACTCTGGTTCAATTTTTGGAAGTCCTGCGGACAGGTTCGCATCTCCACCCCGCCTTCGGCGCCTTCCGACGCGCGCGTGGCGCGGAGCTATATATGGTCTCCTCGGGACGTCCCCACTCTCCGACGCGCCTCCACCGCGCAGGGCCCCCGCCCAAGCTTTTGACGCCCCGTGACGTACCTCACGTCCCTTCGTCGTCGCACGGCGCGCCGGTGCGCAGTTTATATTCGATTCTTCGTGGTCCCGCGACCTCCACCTGCTGTTCTCCGTACACCAACGCGCGCCGCCCCCGCGGCTTTTTCTTCGCTATATGGAGTCCCCGCCGACCCTTCTCTCGCCATCGGCCTCCCACGCCGCGTAGGCGGCGCGCCGGTTTTTATATTCAAGATCTTGCCTTCCCGCGAACCTGTTCGCCCGCTCCCGCCATTTCCTACGCGGCGGCGCGGAGCGCTGCCATCTCTTTTTTTATTCAAGATATCGACTCCCCACCACCTCACCGTCTATCCACTCATCCCCGACGCGCGCGCGGCGCGGGACGCCGCTTTTTGCTTCTACTTTCAGGCTATGCACCTCCCACCGACTCTCTCACGTAGCGGCGGCCTCCCCCGACTGAAGGGTGGCGCGGAGCGCTGCCCCTGCTTTTGTTATTTAAAATCTCGCTTTCCCGCGAACTTCTTCGCCTGCTCCGCGCCGCCATCTCTTTTCTTATTCAAGATTTCGGGTCCCCAACACCTCACCTATCCAGTACACCATCTTTCGACGTGGGCGCGTTGCGTAGCGCCGCTGCGCCCTTTCTTCTTCAAGATATGGCCCCTTCAGCTGCGCCATCACCTTCCGACGGCGGTGCGCCACGATTTTTTTATTCGATATATGGACTTCCCGCAGACTCACCCGCGTGTTCCAATGTCCCCCACGCCCAGCACCGCCACAATGTTTCGTAATTCAAGTCCCTGCCAAGTCATCTACGTGTTCCACCATTCCCCGGTACGGTGCGGCGCGGAGCGCCACCCCGCTTTTTTTATTCAAGATATGGAGTCCCCGCAACCTCGCCTCCTTCTTGCGGTGATCCCAGCGCGTAGCCATCTTTTTTTTTCTTCCAGATTTCGGGTCCGCGACAACTCACCTATTCCGGCACATCATTTCTCGACGCAGGCGTGGCGCGCAGCGCCGCCCTGCGACTTCCCAACTCGATATATCACTTTCCTGCCAGCTACTACGCCTATGCCATCACCTCCCGACGCGCAGGCGGTGCGCAGCACCGCCGTGACTTTTTTTAATTCGATATATCGACTTTCCGCGCACTCCATCGGCTATCAGCATTATTTCCCGATGCGGGCGCGGCGCTACGCGCCGCCCCCGACTTTCCAGCTTCATACATGGACTCCCCGCAACCTTGCTTCCATACCGCGAATATTTTCCGACGTGTAGGCGGCGCGTAGTGCCGCCCCCTCCTTTTTTATCAGTTGTCTGGAGTCCTCGCCACGTCCTTCGCCTAACGCCATCCCCTTGCGACAGCGGCGCGGCGTATAGCGCCGCCGCGCTTTTTTCTATTCGAGATATCGCCTTCCCGCGACCTCGCCTCCATGCTGTTCGTACCCCCCGGACCCATAGGCGGCGCGCAGCTACGCTCCCGACCTTCTAAGTCCATATATGGACTCCCCGCGACCTTCCCTCCATCATGCGCTCATCTCCCGACGGCGGCGCGGCGCGCAGCACCGCCCCTACTCTTTTTTCGTCGGCAGTCGGTCTTCCAGCGCCGTTTGCGCCGCCCTCTCGCCTGTCTAACTGGCGCGCAGCGTCGCCCCGGCCTTTGTTGATACACCCCCTTCGCTATTCTCTCGTCTTTCACGTCGCGCGCTCCGTTTTAAATCTACTTCTGGCGTCTCCACCTATTCCGAGGCCCCGCGCATCTTTTTTAAAAAATCTACGACTGCGCGCACCATGAATATAACCCCCCACGTCGCGGGCACATAAACGCCGATGTTTGTCACGGTATGTATTTGTTTTTTCACGTTTCTAATAAACCTAACGAGTGTTTCAAGCAATCTACCGGCCATTTCAGTATACCTAACGGCATTTCAACGAATCTAACGCGAGAATGAACCTTTTTCTTGATTTTGTACCGATCCTAACACGCCTTTTAGCTGTTTTTAACACGCTTTGAACCGATTTTTCTTGTTAAGCCTCGTTTGAGCGCAGGTAACTGTGATTCCAACGATTTCTACCCTCTAACGCGTGTTTCTATTAGCTTTCTAACGGCAAGCTTTCATTATTGCAATTCCACCCGTTTCTAGCGCGTTTTCTAGTGTTTCAGTGAACATAACGTCCATCTCGGTCGATCTAACGCGTTTTCCAACTGCCATTTCAGTCTCTTTTATCCATTTTGACGCGCTTTTTAGTAACAATGAAGCGAAATTTTCTCGCTGAGCCTGGTTTTACTGGTTTCTAACGAATCTAACGTGTGTTTCTATTGACTCCAACGCGCTGTGCAGTGAATCTAACGTGTATTTCTACGATAAGCCTTCAATAGTCCAATACCAAACGTTTCTAACGCGGTTTAACCCGTTGTATTTACTCCCCAACGGTTTCTAAGGCACTTTCTTAAGGGTAAGGCTCCGATTTTCAGTTTCTAATGGGTTTCAAGCGTTCAAGGCGCTTTTGAGCGGTAATCCTCCGATAGGTATTTCTAGTACAATTGCTACTAAATTTAAGCTCGGATTCTCCTTTGGGGGCAGTAGGTAGCTCTTTTGAGACAATAAAATATATTCATGGAGACTACGGACAAGGAAAGGCAAGGGACGGAAAGAGTCGACGCACCGGCACACGCGCGACACGTCGCGGACCTGGTCGTTGAGCAGTCGCACCTGTGATGTGGCGGAGGCGAGGGCACCGCCCGCAGGCATGACGCCGGGAGACTCGGCCGTAGCGGTCGGCAGACAGCGACAGCAGGACGGCGACGGCGGTGCGGCCCTTGCTGAGGTGGTGCTACGACACAAGCCCTTGGGGGGCGTGACCTTGGTGGTCTTGTCCTCGCTGTTGAGCGAGACGGGCTCGGCGTACGTGGCGGCAATGACCGGGCCGGCGGGGATGCCCTGCAGCGCGGGGAGCGTGCCGGTGGGGACGGCCATGACCTGCAGCTGCATGCTGGGCGTGGCGCCCCACCAGCGCGGGAGTACGTCCATCGTAAAGGACCCGTCGGCATACGGCACGCTGGCCCACTTGTGCATCAGCGGCTGGTTGAGGGAGGCCGGGTGCGGTGAGCAGGACGTCGACGCGTGCGGGAGAGTCCGGGAGGCAGTTGAGCGCTGTGGCCCAGGAGACGGTGATTAGCTGCAGGCGTCATGGGTGCTGCCGGGTGCGGGGGCGGTGTAGAAGGCGCCGGTAGCTACTGGGATCAGCGACGGCAGGCAGGTGCTTGCCGAACTGGGCGCCAGCGTGCCCGACCTTGATCTTGATGCCCTCGAAGCCCATATGTGTATGTGTGTGTAAAGAGAGGGACGGAGAACGAGTGTGGATGGGCGGCCGTCGGCGGCGACGACAACAACGACGAGGGGGAGAGAAAAGGAAGGAGTTCAAACTCCGACGTGATCATGACACACGCCAAGGGGCTCTGTCGGTCAACGTTCAACGTTGATGGGTCCGAGGCGGGCGAGGACAGCGGCCCGTAGGCGTTCTTGTATGTCGCGCTCGTACTCGGTTCACTACTACTCACTACTACTCACTCCGCTGCACGCAAAGTCCTCTAGTGTCGTCCATCAATCACAACCCGATGTTCCTGTCAACCTCCTGTACTTGTCCACTCTAACCCCGTCGTTCACGCACCGACTTTTCCTTGCCTATATGCGCTGAATGAAAGCCTAATAGACTGAGAAAAAAAGGAGGCGGTAGTTAGTACGGTAAAAGCGTATGTTTTTGCCTCGACGGAGGATGTCAGGCTCTTCCAGCCGAAAAAGACACCCCCAGATCTCAATTAAGGGCGCCCGTTCAGCTCACTCATACCCCACTCCCTGTGGTATCCAAAATCTCGGATGTGGTGTACAGTGCACGTCAGCTCTTTATGGAAATGTCCTGCTGTAATGCAAGCTGAAAGCCGTGGTTCGACTCCCTGCATCCGAGTTTGATGTTTTTTAACTCTTTTTTTGGGGAGACCGCAAAGGCCTCTCCTACGAATGCGGGCTCCAAACGTGGTGAATGCCTCGGATGTGGTGCATGGTGCACATCGGCTTAATATATCCGGAGTATTTGATATGTTAAGAGCCGAAGGCCGGGGTTCGACTCCCCGCATCCGAATCAGCCCTTTCCTCACCCTTTTGTTTTCGGACCACAAAAACCCTCTCTCCTGGTAAGGTTCCAACGATAAAAAATAACTCGGATGTGGCACATCGGCTTCATATATATCGTCTTCATATCGAGTAGATGCTATTGCGTAAGCCGAAAGCCAGGGTTCAACTCCCTGCATCCGACTTATGCAACCGCCTCTTTTTTTTTGGACCACAAAATCTTCTCCTACAAATCCGAGTTACAAGCGTGGTGAATAACTCGGATGTGGTGTACGGTACACACCAGTTTGATTCTGCCATTATACAATGATCCAAGCTGAAGGCCCGGGTTCGACTCCCAGCATCCAAATGAAACTGTACTCTTTCCATCTCTTTTTTTCCCCTGCTGCTTCAACAATATCTTCGGCCCTGGCAAGGTTCCAAATAGTTCGGATGTGGTGTACGGTGCACATCGGCTTAATACTGGCTGATCAGAGTCCAGGATGTAAACTGAAAGCCGGGGTTTGACTCCCTGCATCCGAGTTCAACCAACTTTCCCAAGTCCTTTTTTTTCTTTTGGACCACAAAATCTGCTCCCTAGCACGCCTCCAAGGGTAAAGAATACATCGGATGTGGCGCACGGTGCACATCGGCTTTATATCTACTGGATACAAGGCATAAGCCGAAAACCAGGGTTCGACTCCCTGCATCCGAATCCGTCCTTCATTTACAATTTTTTTTTCCGACCACCAAAATCTCTACCTAGCCAAGTTCAAATAGTGAAGAATACCTTGAATGTGGTGTACGGTGCACATCGGCTCTTTATTCGTATGACTCTACAACGGTAAGCCGAAGGCCGGGTTCGACACCCCGCTTCCGAATTAGGGTTGCAATCAACACTTTTTTTTTTCTTCTACAAAGCCTCTTCCCTCATACATTTCAAATGGAATTGAATAATTCAGATGTGGTGCACGGTGCACATCAGCTTAATATATACATAGCGAGGGAGTGTAATGAAAACCGAAGATCAGGGTTCGACTTGGGTTCGACTCCCTGCATCCGAGTTTGACTATGTATTCTAAGTTTTTTTTTGGACAAAAAAATCTGCTCCCTAGCACGCCTACAACGCTGAAGAATAAATCGGATGTGCTGTATGGTGCATATCGGCTACATACAACTTGTAATGAATGAATCCCAAGCTGAAAGCCGGAGCTCGACTCCCTGCACCCCGAATAATTAGCCTGTCCCCCATTTTTCTTTCTTTTAAATTTTTATTTGCTGAGATCCACCTACGAGGAATCGAAATACATCGGATATGGTGTATAGTGCACATCCTCTTCATATATGGCCTAATTTATTGCGACAAGATAAGCCGAGGGCCGGGGTTCGACTCCTTGCCTCCGAACTTTGATTCCTCAAGTTTTCCCCCATCTTTTTTTCTTGGGCTTGCACCAAACTCCCTGCCGCCCTTGGCGGGGTTCCAATAGTGAATGATAATTCGGATGTGGTGTATGGTAACGCATCACCCATGGGAACATCTAGTTGTGCGCTGAAGGCGGGGGTTCGACTCCCCGCCCTTTTCGAACGGCTTTTTATTTATTTTTTGCTTCGACAAATTACCTCCCCCACACACTTCTGGCGGTGAATAATAATTCGGACGTGCATAAGCTGAGTGACTCCCCCCATCCGACTTCTGCTTTTTTGTCTTTTATTTTTTGGCCACCAAATCCTTCCCCTGGAACACTTTCAATGGTGGTGTAACTCGGATGTGGTGCGTGCTGCACACCAGCTACACATAATGTTGAGCCCAATGATATAGGAGCAAAAATTTGTGGTGTGTAGTCTCCAACTCTTTTCAGCCTGGCTTGAACGTTTCAGCTCCAATGTTTTATTTTATTTCAATACTTGGCCTTTCAAATTGCTGCCTAAATTTAGCAATCTTAGGTGTGTGACCGTGCCGGGACAGTTGCGGATTTGGTCTGATGTCGAGCCCACCGGGTTCCTTGTCTTCTATGTGCGGGGTAAAATCCGCCGGATCTGCAGAAGATGTGCGATTAATTTGACAGTTTTACCTCTATCTCCTTCACATGCAATATATCCAAATGTTGCCACTTCATGCCATTTGCCCTTTTATAATTATAGAGCGCTGCTGGCTTGTCCCATGTGTTGCAGATTCATTTTTGCGGTGGTGAGGGACATGGCTAATTTTATTTCTGGATGCCAGCACATTTGCTAGACCAGAGATACATGGGTGGAGACGGCAGCTTTGCTCAGGATGCGAATGCTGTTCACAGTGACACCCCCAATTGTCTTCTTAAATTCCAGGTTGGCATGTCTAATGCAAGAATTGAACCTCGATAGGGGGGAGTATACTGCATTTGACAGATAGCACTTAAAGATAAGTCTATTTCCTGTGTAAAATGTCAGCTGATTCATATCATGCTGATAATGCATGTAAGGAGCACAGCCAAATATATGTATAGATATACAGTATATAAGCCCCGACAAATGCCTGTCATCAATGCCCACAATGCCTACTACAGCAAATTTGAAGAATCTTCTCGAATATACTGTCCTGGCTGCAACTACTGCCAAGAACATTGCAGAAACAGCCAAAGTGCCTTTCCTTGGCTCAACTGCCGTATTATGCTTGTCAATTACGAAGTGTATGGAGGTAAGCCGATTCCTGCAGCCATTGGTAGCATATTCAGCAGTAAAAAGACGACCAGATTGAACAAGGAAGAATATGCTGAGATCATGGAGCAGGTTCATGAAATCTTGTGCATCATTGTCCAGCTTCATTCGACTTCGGAAATCAAGGGTGTCCTTCCAACAGTGCTCTTGTATGACATTGCCAAATTCACAGAGTGAGCCCAATTTAGAATGACACTGCATTCATTTAATATATTACCCCAGGGTACTTGAAAAGTTGTTCACAATTCTGAATGGGCAACAAAAGGGTGCTCTACAAAAAATAAAGGGACTTTTTCGACAGCCTGAGGCTGGAGAAAGGTTGGAGGCATGGGGGCAGGAGCTTCGCAGGATGGTTGAACTGTTCAAGGTATATCAAATAAATTGGATTTCAATGCATAATCAATCATGGGCATTGGTTGCAGGCTCAAGTTACAGGTTCAGCCTTGTCTCAAATGGGGCAAATGAAAAAGGATGCAAAAGAACAGCATGAACAGCTTGTCACCCTTTTGGAGACTGACTCTGACCTGACCAGTTCTGATTGCTCCTCGGTGAGTACAAATTATGGTCATTGACATTCTTAGCTCAAGGTTGTTAGGTGAGAGGAACCCTGACAAGCTTGAGGAATAATAGGTGAGCTGAACCTACAAACATCATCGATCTTTCTAAAGATTTTGAACAGTTCAGGATCTTTTGGTCTACTTCCACCCTGCCCACAAATTTTCCATGGCCGTGAAGCTGAGCTACAGGATGTGGTGAATATCCTAATCCAGGATTCCGCCTGCATTGCTATCCTCGGTGCAGGGGGAATGGGAAAGACGAGCCTTGCCACCACAGCCCTGCATAACCAACAAGTGGAAGCCAAATATTCACATCGATACTTTGTTCTATGCCACTCTAGCCCCACTTGCATCGAGCTGGCGGTGACAATTGCAGATCATATTGGGTTGGAGAAGGGCTCAAACATGCCAAAACGAGTTGCACATTATTTTGCCCATGCTCCTCCTTCCCTTCTGGTCCTTGACAATCTAGAGACTTGTTGGGAGTCCCTGGCATCTCGCTCCGAAGTTGAAGAGTTTCTATCTCTTCTAACCGATGTCCTCCACTTGGGTGTCATGGTGGGTGATGTTTGCAAGTTTAACCAATAATACCTTGAACTTCTTGTAGATCACCCTCAGAGGTGCTGAGCGCCCAAGCAAAGTTAAATGGACCAGGCCTTTCTTGGCTCCTCTTGAGCCACTTTCCAATGTGGCAGCTTGGCAGACCTTCATTGAGGTTGCTGATGATGGCCATGATGAGGTCAGCATCAAAGAACTCCTCGAACTGACAGGAAATCTTCCACTGGCAGTCAGCCTCATTGCCAGTGTTGCTGGTTCTGAGGGATGTGCCCAGGCACTTTCGCGGTGGAAACTTGAAAGCACTCGGATGTTGTCAGAAGGCTATGACCAGAGATCAAGCCTAGACATCTCCATCATGCTGTCATACACAAGCTCCCGGATGACCCTGGGTGCTGAGCAACTGCTCAGAATTCTGTCCATGCTACCTGATGGGCTTCCAGATGCCGATTTGGTGCAGGCCAAACTGCCAATCCCTGACATTCTGGCCTGCAAGGCCACTCTGATTCAAACGGCCCTTGCCTTTGTTGGCCAGGATCAACATCTAAAAGTCCTGGCTCCAATACGAGAATATATCCTTCATATTCATCCTCCAGCAAATGTGTTGAAGCTAAAACTATGGGAACATTTCCATGAAATTCTTGATCTTTGGAACCAATTTAAGAATCAGAATATAATGGATATACTCCCCCGCATTACACAAAATCTGGGCAACATCAACACTGTTCTTCATGATGGGCTTGATCCAGAGGGCCCAGATATTGTCCAGACTTTTAAGAGCATTCTATTTCTTAATAATTTCTATCGTCGGGTTCAGCAGACATATTCACCCCTTCTGCTCCAGCTTTCTAGCAAAATGCCCCATTGGAAAGATCATCCAATTTTTGGAGAATATGTTATTCAACTACTGCGCAGTTCAGACTATATGCCTGACCTGGATGTCAACAGTGACATCACCCTAGTTGCTCAGGATTTCAAATCAAAAGCTCCACTGGAACAGGGTAAGACATAATCAATGTCATTGTGCCTAACTAATTTCTCACCAGCCACATGGTACCATGCTCTGGGAATTCACTTCTTCCATGTAAAGTCAGATTTTGTGAGAGCCCTCAAATATTGTCGAAGAGCATACTAGGGGTGCTCAATTGCTATCTCGTGGGCCCGTCCCGTGGGTTTATTTGTCCCGAACAAATATAATTCAAACTCCGCCATCCAAAAAGACTTT